AGATCTCTTTCGGAAATTGGAAATTTTGCCTTTGGCTTCACAGTATATTTTTTCACTCATGCTCTTTGTGGTTAATAATAAAAGTCTCTTTATTCCAAATTCACTAAATCATAATATAAATACAAGACATATTACAAATTTCTATCAACCCATAGCAAATTTTACGGTATATCAAAAGGGAGTGTATTATATGGGCATAAAAATTTATAATAATCTTCCTTCTTATATAAAAGAAGAGTCACTCAACCCTAAGAAGTTCAAAATTTGTTTAAAGCGTTTTCTTTATCTTCATCATTTTTATTCTGTGGAAGAATATTTCCAATATAAGTCATTATAAGTTAATGATTATGCATTCACTAGAATCACCTGTTGATCATCCAGTCTTTTATTAGTATTATTCTAGTCATTATTCTATTATTCTAGTCTAGTCATTTAAGCAATTTCTGTGATATGTTCAAACTGACATTGTTTAAATTTAAACTGCATGTTTTATTAAATTAACTTATATGACTGGAATCTACTTGATCCTACATGTTTTGTTTCAATTTTTGTATTTTATACTTTTTTATTTATGTACTTAGCTCTTGCTCTATTAATTTTAAGAATAATCACTGTATGGACATGTCCTATATCTCACTTGTATTGTGGATCCATGGAACGAAAAATAAATGAATGAATGAATGAATGAATGATGTACAAGGACGTAATAGTTAAAATCTTGAATTCTTTAAATAAAGGTCTGCATGACATTCTGTTATTTACACCTTTCGTGAAACGAAGCATCCTTTTCTGTATTTTAAAGACTTTAATACTTTCATTTTCTCCTCCCCAAAAAATCAACCCATAACTTACCAACGATTGAAATTTGGCAAAGTATATATTCCTGAGTATATGTAAACTTACCTCATCTTTCAAAGATTTAATAATATAACATACCTTATTCAATTTTGAACACAAGGACTGAATATGTACACTCCATTTGAGATTTTGAGTTATATTAATACCTAAAAATCTAAACTGAGATGTATACTTAATTTTTATATTATTAAAAATAATATCTGGCCCTGAGATGTCATTCGGTTTCTTTAACTGGAATAACATGGCTTTAGTATTATCATTATTTATAATCATATTGTTTTTTGAAAACCAAGATTCCAGTTGGATCATAATTCTCTTTATTCTATCTTGAAGGCTGCTTTTATCTTTATCAATAACCAATATATTGGTATCGTCTGCAAAGAAGAAATGATCTAAATGATGTAGCAAAAATAACATCTTAATAAACTAATGCATTTTATCAATGATTTGAGTCTTATCAGTTATTTATTAAGAGTATAATATTGTTGTGATTGACAGACATATTTACACAGTAGTGACATACACAAGAGGATGCAAAACATGAAGGTGACTCTTCATTATCTTGTTTAAATTTCTTTGTTAATATTTAAATGATGTACAGTGACCTTCATATAACCCAGTGGCATAAAATGATGATTTTTGCAGTCTGTAGATATTGAGAGTATCAGTTAAAAGAATCAAACAAAATTGCAAAAGTTATCCATTTTTGACTCAGATTTCAGTATCTTCCTGCCTTGAAACATGTCAAAAACTGTACCATTTTATAGTTTGTACTGCAGAGAAGCAATAATGAGATCTGAAGAAACTAAAATGAAGGGAAACACCATGAAGGCATGTGTGGAATGCATTTGTTTAGCTCCACCATGCCACTGACTGAGTGCTTGTGGCTGGCAGCACATTTTGTCATTTTTATCTTACGGAGGCCCTTGAACACATCAGATAGAAGGCTGTATAGGCCTAAGATTTGCCAAAGGAAATAGTCCAAGTGAAAGTCACATTGCGACTGACAGTCAGTCAGTCAGTAAGTCTTGGTGTCGAGCCCCATCTGGGGTTCATGACCAGATATTTATTACTGTTCGACATTTACGGTATTATTTTTGAGGGGCGCCCTCTCTGACGAGAGTACGGGTCTGTCTTTTATATATGCTGCTGGCCCTTGCCAACGCAGTCTTTCTCGGGTCCAAGTCCCTTGAGACTCGCGACCATATTTTACTGTCTCAGATTTGAGACTTCCCTTTTCGTCACCTCCTACGACTCGCAGGGTCACGGTTGAGGTATTCGACCCCGCCTCCACACGGGTGGAAAGGAAATAATATTCCCTGCCCCTATTAAAAATCAATCCTGGCTGTACAATTTACAGCTAGGCACCTTAGTGACTGAAGTATGCCAAGAAACTTCATTAATAATTAATTTTGTTTTCAATGTTGTGCTGTCTGTAAATAGTTCATATCTGATTCAGGAGTGAACTTGAACTCCATAGTTTTAATCCACTAGTGAACTATACCAACTGGACAACCACCACTTGTTGGCGAAGTTAGTGCCAACTTTAGCAGATAGAGAGTGCCACGTGGTCAGCACAACAAATCTGCAGCCGTTAATTTCGGTTTTCTAGACCGGAGCCGCTATTTCCCTGAAATAGCTTCTCAATTATCCTCACAAGGCTGAGTGGACCCTGTTCCAGACCCACTATTTCTCAGAAAATCTTGTTGCACTGGGAATCGAACCCAGACCTCTGGATCTGTAGGCAGGAACTGTGACCACTAGAGATTCAGGAGTACATGATGTTTAAAAATTGTGGTAATACATGTATATTGAAGTCTGCTGAAGAATTATTCAGGTGTGCCCATTTGCAGTCTACATCAGGTTTGCCTAGTAAAGTTAGAAACTGCAGTAGTGTAGGAACACATAAATATATTTTAAAAAGTGGGAAAAATGCAAATAAAGTTTATATCTGCTACAGTCACAGTTTTACTATATTAATATTGACCACTTTTTGTGTGCTGTTCAAAAAATTAAGAAATTACTGTATGGCATACTGTACCTATTTACATTAATGAATTTCAAGGTATAACTGAATTAAAGTTTATATTGAACTTTATGGTGAGTTAATTTACATTTTACAAAATGTTGCAGTGTAGTGCTTAGTACTCTTACTTTGAATTTGAAGAATCTTGGTTTTAAATCTCAGCTCATTGGCCACATATGCTGACTTATTTTTTTCTTGATTTTCCTCTCCAGCTAGATTAGAAACAGTATCTTGAAATAGACAGTTAATCCTATATAGTCCATACAGTAGGTAAAGTGTCATGAAATAAGAAATATGTCTGCACTGTAATTTTTTTTCTTTCAGCTAACAATTTGCATTTTATGTTCACAGTTCATGGTAGCTTAAAGCTGGTGTTGTACACACTAGTTACAGAGCGTGACAGACTGAAGACTGCATTGGATTCAGATAGTACATTTCTCTTAAACTGTGGTGCTTCTCTCAGTGCAACTGCTACTGGCAATGTGGTAGCTAGCCTACGAAATTCCCTTAATCAAGCTTTGCAGCAGAATGCTGACTTGCGCTCAAGACTGGCTCGTATCCATGACACAGCAGATCTCACTGACATTTCTTCAGTTGGACCTGCCTCTGAAGTGGTGAGTTTCACTTCTCATTGAATTCAGCAACTGAAGAAACATAGCTCCCATATTCAAGCCATTCTTGATAGACATCAGTCCATAAACCAGATAAAAGCAATGAGTGGTGATGTCTTTGGTTGCAATCCTGTGAAGAATCAAGCTGGGACATGTTATAAAAATAATAGTATACAGAAACAAAAGTTTTATAACACTTTCCAAGTTCAGTAGTGAGATGTACAACCAATTCAAACAGTCTTAAGAGTCATGTTTTTTATACATTGAAGACTTTTATTAAGAAACTAATGAAACACATGTCACTTGTTTAAAAGGAAATGCTATGCTTCATTACATGCTTAATATTTGTGATTCTGTCCTGTGTAGGAAGTCATATCAAACTTTGTTACAGGTGCTCTGCTTCTCAGTTCTTTATAGGTCATTTTTCTTATGGTTTCATTTGAAGTATTCCAGAAAGAAATACTAAATTGTTGTCATAACCATTAAACCAAACTGTGATTTCAGTACCATGTACAGTAAGTCAACAAAAACTACAAGAACTGAAAGACAAATTATTTTTTAAACATTTGTTGTGTAGCAAGTAAAACATTATCAGATTCACACATTACTGCAGCACCTATATGGCTGTAGATAGTGCTATCTACCAGTATGTATAGTTCACATAATGCTCCACCTTTTGATTTTAGTATTTCAGTTAAAAAGCTATCCCTATTGCAGGGCGTGGAGGCCCACAGTATTGTGAGATATCAAGGCTCCCACATATTTTAGACATTTGGCTCACAGATGCAAGTGAGTTTGTCATCCTTATATGCCAGCCACCCTTTATCCCCAGGGAGATTCCTAGTCCTCTTTTGTTAGAGGCTGAGTCGACCCCAGGGCCACAATCCAGCTGGAAGGATTAGGTCCATTGAAAAATCCAGCGACCTCATCAGGAATTGAACCCACAACCTTCTGGCTTGTAGCATAATGCCTCAACCAACTACGCTATTGTGTTCCCCTAGTATTTCGGTTAGTACTGTAAAATTGTTTGGTATTAGAATTGGCCATTGAGAGAGTTTTTACTGCTTATCTCAATGTGCTGATGTACTTTAACGTACGGACTTTTAAATTGCCGGCAGCTCCCTACGGCCGGAATTTAAATGGCCCTAAGTCTTTAACATTGCAGAGTTTCAGAAAAAAATGCATATTTTCCGTTCTATGCAACATCGAAATATGAACTAAAAAGAACCTGAAAGACAATAACATTTTCTACATATATACAAAAGGGCAAGTTTTAAAA